TAATAGCTATGACCTATGACAATAGAAAGATAGTAATTGTTTTGTTTGACATAACTTACGAGCTCATTCAATATATAATCATGCCAGAGTCATGTCCTCTTTTTTTTTTTTCCCTTTCACTTTTAGTTACGGCATATCTTTGGGGAACTAGGAATGATAACGACTCCTCCTTGCAAAACTTTACCACTAATTGTAGATTACTAATTTCTTTTTGGATAAATATTACTCCATCTGGTCAAGTTTATTTATCAGTATTTTAAATTTTTCATAAAGTATGATTAAATGATTTTATATAGAATATATATGATAATTGAAAATTTTTTTTGAAAAAATTCATTTAAAAAAAAATTTCAACAATTATTTATTTGCGCTGTTAGAAAAAACTATTATTTATTTACTCTATATAAAGTCATTAAGTTAATATACATAAAATTAAATGATTTTTTTAATATATGATGATAAAGTTATATAAAAAAAAATAACTCTTATTTTTATAAATTTCTCCTCACTTAATTAAAAATTCAAATTAAAATATTTAACTTAAAATTTCAAACTCTTAATTAGTTAAATCACCGTGTTAAAATACATAAAATTAAAGAATTAAGATAATAAAAAAAAATACCATATGAAGTATTCTACACCATGCCCTCAACTTTTTTTCAACCAAAACTACCCTCAACCAATTTCGTTAATTTTAATGAGTAAGATACACAAAATTATTACATAAATTATTTGGCCAATTCATTTCCAAAGAAAAAGATTGAAATGGAAGTGTGGAAGCAAAGGCGGTAATTAAGGACACTAGCTTTTTCTCATTCCGCAATAGGGAACATTTTTTTTTTTTATTATTGGTGACAAATAAGGATGTTATCTAGTGTTGAGACATCCTTAGATTATTCAATTTAGAGCTTAAAGAGAAGTGTCATTTCAAAGGATTAGTTGATTTTGTTAAATATAAGTTATGATCATATAGCACTCATGCTTTCTAATTGAGTTAGCACTCAGCAAAAACTGTTTGTTGTCAAACATGCAGCTGAAGACAAAGAAGAATTACAAAAGAAAACTCACAGCTTTCTTAGTAGCTGATCGTCAGTCCGAGTATTCAGAGTACTTGTTACAGAGTATACCAAAAGAATGAATACCAAATATGAGAGAAAAAAGCCTCAATGTTTGATGCAGGCTCTAGCTTACTTTGAAAGGGAATAAAAGCAAATTGAAAAGCCGAGATATCAACATTCATCTGTCACAAAAAAGGCTTGCAGATCTCAACGGATCATGTCTAGTGACTAGTATTACATCGGATGGTAGACCTTTACTTCACCAAATCCACGTGCTGAAAGCTATGGTACAGGTGCCCCCTTTTCAAGCAAGTCATGGTCTACAAAGATGACAACAACTGTGATATCATCATGGAAATTCCTCCTTGTTGCATCTGGAACCCTCAGTAGCTCATCAAAGTTAATCTGCCTCTTCTTTGCGGCCTCTTTTAGAGCTCTTTTGATAAGTTTTCTTGCAATTCCCTAACATTTTTTAAACAGATCAGGAAAGGTGAAACAACAACAAAAGGTGAAAAAAGCAAAGAGTAGGCACTGAGATGAAAGAAAAGCACTTACTGCTCGCTGATGTTTATTGACAATATCGACAGCCTGCTGGTTTGTCAAATTTTCCCAAAGTCCATCAGATGCAAAAATGACAAACCCATCACTGGGTTGTAAGACCCTTCTATGCAATGATGGTTCTGGAATTAGAAGAGGCCGCTGGAATGGTTCAGGGAGAGGGAGGTAGCATCGTCTGAATCTAGGATCAGCATTATACTCTGGCTGCTTCATGTATGCATCACCAATAGTTCTAGATGCCTTATACCATCCATGGGCAAACACAA